TTAGTTTCTCGCTTGAGCTAGGCCTCTTACAGTGGTGAGAGTTGAAATGTAGTCGTTTGAAGAAGGCCCCTTTTCCTTTTCCTTTTTCCCTGTAACACATAATTTCATGGGCCTCTCTACAACCATGGATTTTCATTTTCCTTTACATAAAACAAGGAAATCAAGATCGATTGCACTATCCCAACTAATAATAATAATTTAAGAAAAAAAAGCCAAGAAGAAAATTGATCGGAAAAGTAACGGAATCTAGAAAACTGAAAATTTAGGACGAAGCACATGATGTGTAGGGTACATCACTTCCATGAGCCATATTCTCAAAACCAAAGCTTAATCCAGCCACCATCTTCCCAAAAAATACGCACCATTCATTCTTAACATTTGACACAGGTAGCCCCCCGACCCTTATATCCGCGTTGCGGGTTCGCAGGTTTGCCAAGACATTCGCCGCCGTAATTTTTCTGAGGACCCTGGTTGCATGGTATATTGTCTTTTGTCAATGGTTCCTTATTTATAAAGTTTCCATTGGCAAGGACCCTTCTCACCACCCTTCCCAACTGGGTTTCGCCCACTTCTTCTTCTTCTTCTATGAAGCATTGTGATGTTGCAGGGGAGGAATTGTTGGCACATTGGGTGCTTATTTTGAGGGAAGTTGAGGTTGCATTGCACCTCAGAGGAACACTGAAGACAAGTAAAATCACAAGAGATTGCATCTTCTTCACCATTTTTCTCTTTTCTTTTGCTCAGAGAATGAGCAGCTTCTTCACCATCTCTTTCTTTTATTTTGCTCTCTCACTCTAAGCAAATGTGTGGTCAGCTTCTTTCATTAATGTTGTGACACATAGGAGATTGGTCACTATTCCTTCATAAAGTATACAACGGCCGCCCTTACCTAAAATTCTACGACTCGCCCATGTGGGTTCCTCTGTTCTCTGTCCCTCTCTGTCTCTGTCTCTTATTTTCTTTTTCTTTTTCTATTTTTTTTTCTTGTTCTTGTTCTTGTGTCGGTGCCATGGCCGTACTCTCCTGTTTTGTGTAATTTTTGGTGTGTCATTAGTGAATTTGGCGTAAGTATTTGGGTTCTTTACTCTCGACAAGTGATAAGGTCTACCGTAACGATATAACGTCTGTGATTATGTTAATTTACAATTTTGACAGGAATCTTTCTTACTGCGTGGCTGGCTCCACATGGAAAACAAAAAGGAGACAGTTTTTACGGCTCACATGTAGATATCCGGGACCCTTACTAATATTTATTTTTGAAATAGAATGGTGACAAAACTAGGTCCCTTTGTCTCCGTCCGTGCATAATATAAAGCATTGCCTATAAAGCACTCTTCTTAATTATTGCCCTATCTCATAAAACTTCCACAACTTGCGCAGCAAGTATTATTAGAATCAGACGGAAATGGAAGGGCAAAGAGACCTTGTAAGGTTAGAATAAAAAAAAGAAACAAAAAAGAAAACAGTTCTTAAAATAATTTAGTATATAGGTTTTGTTCATTTAATATATTGATCCTTTTTCATGCGTTCAATTTATTTGATGACCGATTGGACCTCTAATTGGATTCGCCCAATGCTTTTCTAATTTGGCGGCTAGTCTCATTCAGATAATATGATCTAGAGTGACTTCTTGTTGTACTATAATATAAGAGAAAATATAAAACGAGACTATTTACCCTTAGTATAATGTGGTCACGTTAATCTTGACCATTAGACGTGAAATTGGGTGGCTGCAATTATTCCAATGACTAAGCTCAAACTTCAAAATAAATTTTTTCGAACTTTGTGACAATAAATGTTGTTATTGTATACAATGCCATAATATAATCCCATTTCTTACATTATGACCATAATATAAGCCCATTTCTTACATTATATCCATTTATAAAGGATAAGATCAAAATATTAGACGGATATGTAATAGAACATTTTTTGTTTGTTGTTTTTACATTGTGGCAGATATGCATGACGGATAAAGTGATAAAATCACCCTCATACGCAAACCCCATAATGTGTGGGAATTATGCTAAAATTAATATTGAAGTTTACTACTTCATACATATTCCTCATATGTAAGGAATGAAAGGAAAATAATATGTATGAAATCCTACCATGCAAGAAATGAGAGAAAAAGAATGTGTTCCTGTTGGGTCACCACAGGAAAAAGATGATTTACTCTGAGCCCGATGCAACAATGCCCCATACAAACATCATCAGTATAATGGATTTCAATTTATATTGTCCATAGATGTCATACATCTAAGGCAAACCACATAAATCTTTGCCTTCGCATAGTATATTTACTTTAATGGCTTAAATTCTGTGTTTGTATCATGGTTTGTACTCGACAATTTGGTTTCTAGCCAAGTAACTACAGGATCCTAGTGAGATCCCAATAATTGCAAGTTCATGTTTCCACATCACATAAAAGAGGGTCCTTGATTCCTAGCAAGACAAACATAAGTACAACATTTCAGAATTTCAATTGGAAAAAGCATGCACCAAGCGTCAGAGTTGTGTTCAAACCAAGAAAAGGCTGATCTCTACCATTCATCAACCGCGCCAAACCATTGCTTCCCTTGGTTTACACGTAACAAGACTTTATTCCAACTTTAATGGAGATTTTATCAGGGTTCAGGGATGATTGGGATTGGCCTTTTATGGTTGCTATTTGATAAGGCTTCTCATATAATTCAGCCCCACATCACTGCTACTCCAGGTTCAGGTTCAGGTTCAAAAGGGGGTATGACTGCTGTTTCCAACTTTTAATATCCCCTTCATATTTTTTTTTTTTTGAAAAGAATATTTCCTTCCTTGAATACTTGAACAGGCACTGTTTATAGAGCCACTGCCTCGGCAACTTATATGCTATCCGAATAGGAAAAGTAAGATCTATATAAATGGGTAACATACAAAAAAAACCACATAAAATGCATATATATTGATAGCGATGCTACACAAAAGGAAGAACATAATATGATCCATACGGTTGTCGCAAATGTCATGGCATGGTTTATCACTATCCAATCAACTTGATGGAGAGGAAGTAGAACAGATAAATAATTAACTGAATTGTATTATCCCAGTTTCCCCCATCACTATCCAACCCATTGATGGAATGGCGACAGCCACATGCTCATAAAGCTATTATAACCATAAGAAGTATATCAGACAGGCCCTACATAAATAGAGTAGATAGTATGATGATCATCACATTTACCAAAAAGATATATACCAGGAAATGTCCATACTAACAATGGGAATGTCCATATTAACACAACAAACCGCATTGCCAATTTTGTAATAAAATAAACGGGCCTGAGTTTGATATTCCATTATTTACTTCACCCAAGTTGTTACAAGACAACACGAGGAAAAAGAGGTTTTACACATTTTGAAGCTTATTCTAAGTGGAAATCTGATTTTGCAACATTGGGTTATTATCTTATGTAAACACAAGGATATCGTTCTTAGACTTTGTCCCTCAAACCCATATGTCAGAAGTACAGTCTCCACCTGGGTATCTCATCTCATGAGCCAAACATGGCCTATCCGATTCAGCTCCAAAGTCCACATAGAAGTTGGGATTTAAAGAAAGCCCACCTTTGTTGGAGTCAAAATCGATCTGTAACATATGAGAGCCTCTCTCTACAAGTTCGGGATAGAACTGTCGATCCCATAAGCTAAAAGCGAGTTTGTCACGTAGAGTCTCTTGCCGTCCAAGCTCAACTGTATCATCTGTGGCCCTCCTCTCAGTTGGTTGCCCTGAAAGGTAAAGAAAGATCTCTTTACTTTATGGTTCTTTTTCCAAAGGAGTTCTAATTACGTGAAACCATGCTAATATCTAAGATTTTAAGGACTACATGAAAACCATGAAGAGTCCTTAGAGTCATCATTGCCCATTGAAATGATGGAGCAAGAATGGTGGCCACCACAGAATAGGGTGGCAATGAGATAGGTGGCTGCGTCCTGCCCTGTTGGGCCGGCCCTAAAAATTAAGGACTGGGAAACAAATTGTGTCCTGAGGGCCTGGCCTAGGCCAGGGCCAATACAGGGCAGTTTGGCCTGTCCCAGCCCTGCCCTATCTGGGCTGGGGATCAGGGCCGGCCCTGGCATGGCCCTTTGCCAGCCCTAATACAATACTACATGATGATCCCAATGGAGGATGCGTCCCACTCACACATAGTCAATGTGAATCATTTCAATGGCCGGTGACAACCCTAAATATGATTTCTTCGTATTGCTTAAAAACTGTAATTTACATTGTTAGAAAGTACAAATAAAAAGGCTACAGCTCAGAAGGAGTCAAAAGGAATGTGGGGTAGAGGACACAAACTTGAATAGCTGGGACATCGAATTGGAATTCGTTTCCATCTTCTGTCTCAGCAATGACCTGGCTACCGTTCTGAAGGAGGCCGCCCACCCAAACTTGTCCTGCCAATATAGGCTTTGATGGGTCTTTAATGTTATATTGCCTCACATCTCCATGCAACTAGTTCACAAAGTAAAGGAATCAATCATCCAAAGAGATGAGAAAATCAGTTATGAGCCCTGGCATTTCAGGAAGAATCCAGTTTTTGACCTTCAATGGCTTTACGGATATCGCAACCTATAGGAACAATCGCGGCATTGTTGGGCTTAGTAAAAGCTCCTCTTTCTCTTTCCCTCTCTCTCCCTCTCTCTCTCTCTCACACACACAAAATAAAAGAAAATCAAAAGAGGGCTTAATAAAAGTTCCTTCATCTCTCTCTCTCTCACACTCACACACACATAGACAACAAAAAAAAAAAAATCAAAAGAGGAGCAGTTTATGTTTACGAAGTGTACACAGTCATATATGTACATACCTCATGGCTCCATAAGCCATCTGGATTCTTATAAAATCTCACCATATTGCTGCTCAAAGCACATCCAACAAACCCAGTGTCCTTCGAAGGATCATGGAGGAACCTAATCTGCCATGGATTGAATGATTCAAATTGATGTCAGAATCCCAATGCCTACTGATATTTTCTATTTATATTAGAATAAATCCCAGTGATATGTTCGAGTAGAACCTCCAATGGTATAAGTCCTGAACTTCTTAGGTACAATGTTTGCTTCAGTTCACATTCAGGCCAGCTGTACACATGCAAGTGTCTTCCATATAGACCATCCAAAACATGTTGAAGGTTGAAACCTTCTAAAAAAGCTGATGGAGCTCCCCATGAAGAACTTATCATTGTCTTGTGATGTGGTTGATACCAGAAGTCATAGCCAAAAAGGGGACTGTGACCCAGTTTCTCCCACCTTATAAAACAAGTGAGTGTTGTTTATAAACATATATTTATACATATCACAAAAGGGAATATATGAGTGGTATTTTAACATACCAAAAACAGCAATGACCAGTGGGAATTCTAATTGTCAGCTACACGAATTATGTTCCACCAATCCACCCTATCAAGGGTCATACACTCAGTCAGACCGTACGTCACCATATCTCTTCTCACTACTTCTATCCATGTCCTTTTAGAAATTCTCTTTGGCATTTTGGAGCCATCCACTTGAACCACACCGTCCATCCTCATCGATACTACAATTTTCAGGAAGATTTGTATGCGGCTTTACTTTTTTCCATAGGGCCTTATATGATATACTATAAGACGTTTTAGTTTTGAGACAAAGAGGTAACTGTCATTTATAGCCACTGGATAAAATCGAATAGATTGAAGTGTGTCACAACATTCGAAAAAATTTATTTTGGACTTTGTGCCCAATCAATGACATATTTTCAACCACCCGACTATGGAGTAACTTATCATTGTATTCAACGAATTTTGGACACTTTTATACCCTTGTTTTATACATGGAGCATTTTTTAATTAGTGCATTTTTTGTCATTAGGAGAAGTGTGATGCCATCCACATGGGTTGTGACATCACCCTTTTGGAGTATACTAGTGACATTTATTGCTCCATATGGTTGATATCACACCCTATGTAGATGATGCTACACTCCTCCTATGACCAACAATACCCTTACTAAAATACGCTCCATATACAAAACAAGGGTATATACGTCTCCAAATTTTGTTAAGTAAAATGCTAAATTACTCCATAGTATGAGCACTCTAACATAACCGATATATATATAAACGAAAAATTGATTCATGTGTCGGGGGATGCATTTCTATATTTGTGTCCCCCGAGGTATAAAGCATTGATCTTAAAGATGGATGCAAATGGGGGGTCCATCTGAAAACAATTGAAACTAATAGTCCAAATGTTTTCTTCATAAAATTATTATTTTAAATCGTCAAAATTTATTTATTTTTTCACTCATGATCTCCATGTTAAAGATTACATGTCCTTAAAAAGTGGGTTCGAAAATCAATTGCAAAAGTTGATTTTATCAGGGGAATCATTTCTACATGGACTCATAGAACCCATGTGTGTGAATTATATATGGGAAATGGTTATATAGAGCTAAGGCTCTAAACAATCAAATTAGCGCCTAGCTAAAAAATTTTACTAGAAGAGATTATTTGATGCTCAAATATCCTCAAATTGATTATCTCAACATCAAGATGCATGGACATGAGAAAAAATGGATTTCAAGTTTCAGAAATAGTGTATTTTGGAACACATTTTTGGACCATCAATTTTCAAGATTTTCAAGTTTTCATCGATATGTCGACCTGCATTATTTTTGAAGCTTTAAACTTTATAAACAAAGATGAAAATATATTTTAAGTCTATCACAAATATTTCTAGTAATGAAACCACATTTCTCGACACTATTTAAAGGTGGGCTGTAATTTGATTGTTTAGAGCCTAGGCTCTATACAAACCGC